CCCCAAAACCCCAAAACCCCAAAACCCCAAAACCCCATGGGGCGCAAACTAATAGAAATTTATATAATATTTATTAGAAACAAGGATGGCTAAATCCCAAGATGACCAGAATAAAGAAGCTCTACTCTACTGGGTGAATGACCTCAAAGTACGATTTGAGACATTGTGTAAGTCATTATCCTAGTTTCTTGGATCACATTTTAGGCACAAAAATTTCTCAAGATTCAAATGACAACCCAGAACTCAAAGCCAATGAAGAGTTGTTGCATCAAAAGTGCAAGAATGAGCTCCCTGGATTACTTAAAAGGCAGCACCACTCCAAAATAGATCCTGATTTGCTCAAATGGGAGCAATGGACCAACGAGCTAATCAAATGGTCTGAGCAACAATACTCCTATGTGATGCCTCCAATGCCTGAATTCAGTGCAAAGAAAGTTGAAACTACATATAAAAAGTTCTTGGCTTTATTCTTAAAAGAACTAAATGATAAAGCTCCAACTCATTACGTTGCTAAGAAGACACAGGAAATTTATAAGAACGACTCAGCCTCAGAAGATAAATCTCCACAGAAGGCACCTCAGTTAGTTAAAAGAGTAAGTTTGTATCTTTAATCTCTAGCAAAGCTCAACAAGAAAAAGGAAGAGGGAAACCTCCAAGAAGAAGTCTGAGGAGAGCAAGGAGACTCCTGCCGTTATTAATGAGCCTGAGGTGCGTCTTGAAGAGACCCCACCGCAAATTCCACCTCCAGTGATTGCTCCTCAAATGCCTAAAACAACTATTGAGAGGGGAAGAACTGATCCTCCACAGCCGCCTATTCCTGATGAAGACTCTAATCTCCCTTTCAGGAAGAAAATGAGGATAAATGATGATAGGAAGTCTATCATAAAGACTAATAGCGGTGTTCTTCCCTTCAGAGTATATGAAAATATTAATAAAATATGCCAACTATCTAATGAAGGTAAAGAGCTCATGGACAAGATGAACCAGAATCATGGAACACTCAATGCAATCTATTTAGCGCAGCTTAACATTGCTGAGGATAAGCCAGATATGAAGATTGAGAACGTACTGGGACTGCTCAACGACATCAATGATAGATCATACAGAATAGCGACTAATGCTTTCAATAATGTCTACAGAAAGAAGCATGAGTGGTATAGATCGAACAAGGAGTACTTCAAGACACCCATAAACTCCAGTGTGTATGTAAAGAACTGCATTCCCCTCAAGGCGAATTTCCAGAATCAGGATACAGGAAAATTGCCAAATATGCCAGAAGAAAAGAAAGGGCAAGGTACGTAACATTTGGTTCTTCTTATCTAAATCTGATACTTTTCTGCCAAAAACCATGCCTAAATTCTCTAGATGGGGAACCCAAGAGCCTGAAGGATATTGTTGCCTCTTTGCTTCCAGATCAGCAAAAATTTATCAAGTGAATCTTTGACAAATTTAGCCTTAAAGGAACCCCAGGTTTTAACATTCATGGAGATGCTGTCATAATCGAGCTAAAATTTGTAGGAAACAACAGCACCATATTGATTGAAATGAATAAGAAAACCGGTGAATTCTTTTACTATAGTAAAAAGAAAGAGAATGGAAAGCCAAAAAACGTGAAATGTAGTGCGAAGATGAAGGATTTCCTGAAAAAGCTTGACCAAGTTTTTAATAAAACTAAGAAATAATAGGTCATAATCATTATATCTGCAATTTTATAGTGAAGCTTAAAAGCCCTTCCTTGGTTGGGCACATGCTTCAGAGATATTATTATTTTAATGGGTTAGAAATAGATTTAAGGGTCCGAGGAAATTTCATAAAGCTTTATTAAAAAGATTTCGTCATATATTTAAGACAGCACTAAGAAAATAGAATAGATAATTTAAGGCCCTTATAAATATTTGACTTTATCAAGAGCTATCTCAACTTGTTCCCGATGAAATTTCCCAAAATCTCTCATAGAGGACCATACTTTTTAGCTCTATTAGCTCATGACTATCAGGAATTAATAACCCCCGGATTCCCGCTTCCCATCACCAGCTTATTTACACCTTTTAAACAATTTTCTAAAGCTAATAAAATATATTAAATAGCCCAATACAAAATTCTCAGGGGTTTTGGGGTTTTGGGGTTTTGGGGTTTTGGGG